TCATTTTTAGGCCTTGCTAGATATTATTACCATTTTGTTTGGTGATTTATATACATTGTTGTCTTATTGACAAACCTATTTGAGAAAGATGCGTCATTTGAATGGAAACTTGAACAGCAAAGCAACTTTGATAGGTTGAAGGAAGCACTCATTACTGCTCTAATATTGCAACCATATAATTCTAACTTTCTTTGTATACTTGACATTGATGCTTCTAATTTTAATATGGAATAATCCTTTAATAAGACTTTGGTAAGGGCTTTTAATTTGTGGTATATGAATCACGCAAGCTTAGAAGAAAAAAGTACAATTATTCTACACATAATTAAGAATAATTAGCAATTATGTATGCCACAAAGCTATGGCAATACTATCTATTGGAGAAGCAAGTGGTTGTTTGGATTTACCATTGATCTTTGCTACATAATTTGCATCTACAAAATATGAAATCATGACATCATTGTTGGAAAGAACAGTTATAGCTCTTTCATATTCAACTTGAGTATAAGCAAGGGCGATAATATATTGTACTAGAAAGCTTATCTTGGAGACCAAACTTGAAGGCCAAATCAAAAAACAAGGCAGAAGTTGCTACCATTAGTAGTATTATTTCAAACCTAATCAAAGGAGTAGAATGAGAAAAAAAGTTATGCATTGAAATGCTTATTTCGAGATGATTAACAATCGGTTGAAGGTCAATAATATATAATATGAAGCTTATAGTCTTAATAATGACTTACTTTATTTTAAGAAGTGGATTTTGTATACCTGATAACTCTATACTTTAGATATGCATATTTTAAGAAGGACATGATATTCTAATATTTGGACATCTAGGACAAGAGAAGACTCTAGAATGGATCTTAAAGACATGATTTTAGGCTAGTTTGGATTGTATTATTCGAGCTTTTGTGTAATCTTGTAAATCATATTAATATAATAAAGCACGTAATATAGCATCTTTTAGGCTATTATAGCCAATTCTACTACTAATGGTATATTGAGAATAGGTGACTATAGATGTCATTATGTATTTGCCGTAGATGCCTCATAATCACATTACAATTGTTATCTTTGTGGATCGACTTTCAAAGCAACTTCACTTTGCTATAATGTACTTTAATATTAATGCCTTGACACTTGCATGAATCTTCTTTGATATTATCTTTTATTACCATGGATTATCTTGTATCATTGTTTTAGATCAAGATTCAATCTTTACAAGAAGTTTTTGGCAAGTCTTATTCAAGCTACTAAGTATATGACTTGTCATGTCTATGTCCTTTTATTTCCAAATAGATAGACAAACAAAGCATGCAAATTTGACCTTAGAAGATATGTTGCGGGCATTCATTATAGTTCATTATAATAACTAGGATGAATATTTGACATCCTTAGAATTTACTTACAATGATAGTATTCAAGCAGATACTAGTCATTCACTATTTTTCTTTAACATTGGTTTGCATTTGATTATGCTAGTAACTCTCTATTGTTCCAAGAACACCAACAATTCAACAAAAAAGTAGTTTATACAACATATAATGGCCTTACAAGAGGCACGGTTCTACCTCCTTATGCTACAAAATTGACAAAAGCAGTATGCGGATAATCATTGACAATACAAGATCTTCTAAGAGGATAACAAAATATTACTTTTCAACGTCAATTTGCCACTTATTACATCAATCCAAGTCTACAAACTGACACTTCAATAGCTTGGATCTTTATACATTTCTGCAATGATTTTTGATATTGTATATTGCCTTGAGTTTCTGCCACTTATTTTGGTCTATCCAATCTTCTATATTTTGCAATTCAAGGAATTTTATACTAAGCCAAAGCGCTTATGAGATTGACATCAACTACCACCACCACCAATTATAGTTGATGGCCAACAAGAGTATAAAGTGGATAATATTTTGGAGCATTGCTACCTTTGCCATAGTAGTGGATGTCTATAACTTTAGTACAAAGTTCTTTGGAAAGATTATTCTATCCATAATACAACATAGAAACTTGCACAAAATCTCACCTATTGCCAAGTAAAAAATTTGAAAATATTATCGAGAGCAAAACAAAAACATTTCATATTGGTGGAAGAAGATTAACTATAATGGCATATAGATAAGATATTTATATTCTTAACATGTACAAATAAATAGTTGGAACTATATTTGAAAAATTATAGAAGTTTTTAGAATTGGAGCTAGGTTAGTAGATCATATAGGAACCACCATGGAACATCCCATAAAGAGCTTAACATAGTTATCTATGAAGGACCTACCATAGAACCTTCTAAAAAGATTTTAAGGCAGTTGTCTAAGTAGAGTCCATCATTAAGAATATTTTAGAAAGTTCCAAGATGGTTAGACAATATATAAATAGGATTCGCTAGGGCCTTTTGGCATTTGGTCAAGTATGGCTTTTAGTAAAGTTTGGTTTTGCATCTTCTTGTTCAATTTTGCTTTGTTCTATTTTTGTTTGTTCAGTTTTGTCTTTCATGTCCTATTCTGTTTAGTTCTATTTAGATTTGGTTGTGATCCATTTTTTCTTACTTTGTGATTTGATTTTATATTATTGTAGATTAAAAGGATCTTAGACTTTCAAGATAGACCAGTCATGTTTCAGTATATATAGTAGTAAGAATGATGTCTTTTTCATTCCTAGTAATTTTTTTTATTTCAAGTCTTATTTCAAGAATCTTTTATGTTCTTATTTTTTTAAAATAACCATTTTATTTTTAATAATATATATATATATATATATATATATATATATATTTGAATAATATCTATTTTTTTAATATCATATTAGTATATTAATTCTTTGATTCTTTATAATTCATGACTTTGATAGCTTTATCATTTGAAGTATATAAACATCATTAAAAATAGAAAAGATTGTTCTTGAATTCAAACTTACAAGTATTATAAAATTAAAAGGATTTTACTTAATATCATACTTAAAACAATCTAAAGACATACTTGATTGAACTTAATTAAGAAAGATTGAATCAACAAGTTCTTTTGATTTTATTACTCAAAGATGAAATTATTGTAGATTCAAAAGAATTATTTGTTTTTGATGATCAGATGCATTTCTTTCTTTAAATGCAAGATAAGATTGTCTTAATAAAATATTTGAAAATTCTTATTGTTTTTTTAGCCAATAAATAATATTAAATATAAATTTTAACAAAGATATGTTCCAAAAAAATTAGTGATAATTCAAAATATATATTAAAATAAAATACTTAAAATTATTATGATCTATACAAATAATCTTTAGATTAGAAATATCTTCTAGATAATAGTACTATTCTTTGAATGAATCTACAATTGTATAAAGTTTTTATTGTAGATTTCTTAGTTGATCTTGCTTGCTAAAAGTTTTTTTAAATAAAAAACTATAAAATAAAGTTTTTATGTACTCTTATTTGTGAAAACATTATACTTGAGAAAAATCATACTTTATTTGTTTCATAATAATAGTTTAAAAAGAAAAATCTAATAGAAAATTGATACTAAAATAAAAAATATCTTTAAAGCTTGAAGTGATGCTTTATTTTTTTGTCTTATTTAAGATTTTTCTTTATAAATTAAATATGCAAATGAAGCTATAATTTTTAAAATATATATTAAATAAAAAGATGGTATTTTTATCTACATATAGAATGTCATCAATAGTTGAAAGGATCTACTAACTACCTTTGTAGAAAACAATAATTAGAGTTTGTTATTAATACCATGCAAAAAGTCTTAGACTTTATTAATTTAATTAATCATTATAAAATTTGTTGCTTAAAAGAAGGAATAATGTAACAAATGTCCATATTATTTATGTAAATAGAAGTAGATATAAACATATTAAAATGAATATATCTTTCTTAAGAAGTTTTTTAGGACTAGATTATATATTTAGACTTTTATAGATATACCATGTGACTATCTAAACTTAGTTTATGAATTTCCTACTTTTGAAAAGTTGTCTTAGAATCTACTCATAACTTAATATTCGGGCCACAAGTCTTATGGTTCCTAAGAATCTTCTATATGACCTTTGCAACTAATATATATATGGAAGCAAGACAAAGGTTATCTTTAGTCTTGTCAACACCTTTCTTATGTTTCAATTTTAATTCAAGACTCTTTAATTTCTTTATATTGGAAAGTAGCTATTTTAATTCTTTTATGTTTCATAAATATATTTTCTCCCTCTTTTCTTTCTTTATTAATAACTCATTAATATATTGTCTTATGGATTTTATCTACATTCATATCTTTGACACCTTCATCCTATTTGTTTAGCTATTAACTTATAAGAAGACTATATAGAAGCCTAGTTATAACTATAAGGCTTACAAATCAAATATCCAAGTTACATGACACTTCTATAATGACTTTTTCAAAGTACAAAATTTCGTGAAGATGTTTATATAGTCACATAATTCACCCACAAATCCAATTTGTATATAAGTAGCTTTTTTGATGCTCTTTTGATGAAAATAATATCTATCTAATCAATTTCTATTTGATTTCACTTACTTAGATAATATAGGTATATACGATACAACACCTTCTTCTTATTTTTAGTTTTTATAAAATTCACGAGGATTCAGAAAGCAAAAGGAAATTCCTCAGAGAGAGATCTTCTGCTGACAGGCAAGCGAAGGCGTGAGAGTTCGCTCTCCCCCATTGTCAATCCACCTAGGTCACCAAATCTAGGAAATATAAAATATATTAAAAAACAAACTAATAAGTAGAAGACACGGAGATGGGAGCAATGAAGAGAATACATCCAAAGCGGGGGCAGTTGAGCGGTCGTGGGGGGCACATGCACCGAGAGGGCGTGAAATCCAAGGCGTCCCGCGGAGCAGAGGATCGAGCGGAGAAGAAGGAAAACGCGGATTAAACTGCGCCGCGGGCGGGGATCGCACAGACCCACCACAGGGAGAGCAAGTCAGTCAGAGTCAGAGTCAGGTTTCGGGGTGGCGCGCATTGCCTCGCCATAACGCACTCCGTTTTAGCACACCACGTCCCTGCTGCGGCCTCCCCTTGTCGATGCCCTTTTTGGATCTCTCTTCGCCCAACTCCCTCCTCCTGCTGCTGCCGCTGCCTGCCACCCTCGCTACCCGCCCCTACGTTTTCGCATCTCCTCCTCTTTCCTCGTGGGTGCTTTCTAGAGTCTCATCGTCGTCGAGTTGATTCACCTGTCTCTATGCTGGCTGTGTTCCGGAGTGGTGAGTTTCCTCTTCTCTCGCGCATGCTAGCGCGCTGTGGTCAGTTCCTCTCTTGGGTGTGAGGTTTTGCTCTCTGTATTGGTTGGATTCAAGCGGGGTTTCGAGGTGGAGTGTGAGCATGAATACGAACTAGTGCTTGTGTAAGTCCTATTTGCTGGCTTGCTCGTTTGTGGTGTGCGTTGTTCGTGGTTGGGTTGATGAGCCTACGAGTTGACGGGGGTTTGGCTTATTTTCTGGGCAGTGTAGGCTTGCGGTGGATCGGTTGCGGCTAGACTAGCCGTTTTTCGTGTGCTTTGTAGATTGTGAAGTGTGCAGAAAATGTGTTGTGTCTTTCTAACTAGGCTTTTTGTTCTCTTGCGATGCACTTGCTTGTGTCCGTGTCTGATTTCTGTTCTCTTGTCTTGTATTTCATTCTATCTGTTATGAGAGGTTTATTTAATGATCATTGACATAATGCTATGGATAGTGAATCTAATGCGGGATGAGGAAGTTCGTGTCACTTTTGGGACTGTTTTTTTTTAGTTCCAAGTGTGCAGTTAAAAGTCTGTGAGTTGAGTGGACAGTTAAGAGCTATACCGTTTTGCCTATCCTTATTTGTGATCTTGCGGGTGCACTCTCAGATACGCAGCCGAGGAGTATGTGATAAGCTGTCTTCAATGAAGTGTTCATTCTATAGTTATTTGTAGGAAGGATCAGGAAGATCTTTCAACTTCTTTCTCTGTGTCTCCTAGACACAAGGACTCGCAGAGTGCCAGACATGATGAAAGGTCTCTCAGTAATGACTCCCACGACCCGCAAAATGATGCAAGTCTTGAATTCCTGTAAGGCCACTCTTTTTTGTGTTCTTGTAACCATCCTTGTTCTGCGAAGTACCGCGATGGTAAGCGACCATCATATTGGCGATATTGAAGGTACTACTGAATGGGCGCACGTTGGGCAAAATCGACATGGACGCAAGCTCGCCCAGGCCGACGAGGTGAATATTTCTGAGAAACCAGATCCAGTGACCGCCAGTAAGTTTGTCGAAGAGGAGAAATGGGACCCTAGTACGCCTTACACTCTAGGTCCCAAAATTTCGAACTGGGATCAGCAGCGGGTGATCTGGAATAACCTCAACCCAGGAAAGAACAAGACCCGTAACGGCAAGCCGAAGATCCTACTCGTGTCGGGTTCGCAGCCCGGCCCTTGTGCTAATCCCATGGGTGATTTCTACCATCTGAAGTTTGTAAAGAACAGACTCGACTACGCTCGCCTCCACGGACTCGAGTTTTTCTACAACATGGCAACTTTTTCTAAAGAAATGACTTCTTTCTGGGCTAAGCTTCCACTCTTAAGGAAGCTGATGGTTAGTCACCCTGAAGTCGAGTGGATATGGTGGATGGATAGTGACGCCATCTTCACGGACATGGCTTTTGAGATGCCTATGGAGAAGTATGAGGGCAAGAACTTGGTCGTGCATGGGTTCCACAACCTCTTGTTTGAGCAGCATCGTTGGATAGGTTTGAATACTGGTATTTTTCTCATCAGAAATTGTCAATGGTCTCTGGATCTGCTCGATGCATGGGCTCCCTTTGGCCCGGAAGGAGAAACTAGGGTTAACGCAGGTGCGGCTACTGTACTCGCCTTTGCTCGAGGCTTGAAATTCACATCTGCTGTGATGCCTCTTCTATCATTCATGAAGTGAGTACTTCTGTGTGATTTAGGCCCTCTGCTGTAAGGGCCTTCATTTCTCACTCTTAATCTCTCTTTGGCACTTGTTGCAGGAAAAATGTTGACTGCCAAGCTAGTTGAGCGTCCTACCTTTGAAGCTGATGATCAATCCGCGCTGGTCTACCTTATGCTCTTTGATGACCCTAAATGGAAGCTGAAGACGCACATCGAGTGGGAGTTCTACCTTCATGGGTACTGGAAATACTTGGTTTACAGGTATGAAGAGTTGATGGCGAAGAGTCACCCCGGTTTTGGAGATGAGCGGTGGCCTTTCGTGACTCACTTCGTAGGGTGCAAGCCCTGCCAGCTCTCTGTGACTCCCGAAGTGGATGAATGTTTCTTGCAGATGGAGCGAGCTTTCAATTTTGCAGACAACCAAGTGCTGGAAAAGTATGGCTATGCCCACAGGGCTCTGGCATCATTCAAGACGCAACGCATTCGCAAGGACACCGCTGACCCACTAGGTTTACTAGAGGAGCGCAAACCTAAACCTGAAGATGCAACTGCGTCTCTCAATTTTCAGGAGAAGGAGTTTTTGCGGAACAAGGAACTAGCCGAGCAGGAAGCGATAAACCAACGAACATAAGGGAATTTTTCTAATTTCATTGGATCGATTTTTTTTAGACTTAAAGATGACGACAACAATGCCTCCTACACATTTAGGTGACTCTGAACAACCAAGGAGTCTCCTGCACAGATTCCTACTATATCTTACTGCTCCTAACTACTTAACTTGATGTACTTGTCTCTCAAAACGAGACCAATCTATTAGATTAGGTCTTATGGTTTTGTGTGAAGTGCAAGGAAGCGTATGCAACCATTTTTTCAGAGATTGCGCTCATGCACTGGGTCGTAGAAAGCCTAGATATCCTTGATGAGCATGAAAATGCTTGGCCTCTAGTATTGAGAACCGCCTAGAGCTTACACTCTGTACAGTACACTCAAGGAATCGGTGTTGGTATTCACGGAATGTTTTCGAGATTAAATCTACTCTTCGGGCACTTAACCTACAATGTGTGCATTTTTCTGAACGCAAGTATGTACTCTGTACTCATGGGAATTTGAATTCTGATTATGAATCTAATTTTCATTTCTCTACTACAGCATTGGGACGACGGTGACCGGCTCACCTTACCCTTCTCTCATGTCCTCGGCCTTCTCAAATTCTAATAATGTTTTTTCTTGTAAGATGCAGCCTCTTTTTTAGCAAAAGGCTGGATGTGGCCAAACCAGTGGATCTAACCCTTATTCTGTCACTTTCACCAGAGTCTAGAAATACTGAAGTAAAATTGATTTTAAGGTCTTTCATAAAATCTTGTCATCTTCGCTACCAACAGATGGTTGTCACCACCTCCAACCGCACTTCACATTTAATCCCACTCCATGCTGTGCCGTCCCTGTCAATTTTTCTATTATTGCCTGTCGTAATTTGGCAACTGCAGGGATCAGATGGAAGAAAGCCTCTCGTCGCTGGATAAATCCGTCTCACCGGTAGTCAATGAAGTGTTAGAAACCGGAATGAACGTCATTATCAAAGACACTACCAGTTTTAGCTTCCATTATGGAATTCAGTCTTCACCCATGAAGCTCCTTGAAATCTCATTCCACTGTGAACAGTATGCGGAAGATGGGCCATTCAGAAGGCGCAGTGTGAAAGCGGCTGATTTGTCCCATTGTGTAAAACGTCCATTCCAGGCTCTGAAAAGAAACTGTTGACGCAAGCATTCGTCACCTTCGAAGGATGCCAATGCACTCTCGAACGTGGGTTGTATCGAAACATCTGGAAACTCATTCTGTCTACTACGTACCAAAATAGCCACAATTGCCAGCAAGAATGTGTGCTTGAAGCACGCCCTGAATTATTGTATTGTTTTGTTTTTCTCTTGAGGTTGTCAATTGCAGGGTTTACTTGGAATTAGACAAACTCTATTTCTGCAGTTTCCTGCTTTTAGTGTGCATGTGGAAAATGGAGAATGACAACCCTCCTTTGTGAATGTAAGAATATTAGAGGAACGCTGAATTTGTGTTTGGATTTTATTTCTGGACTTGGGTCCCATCACATGAGAGCTTGAGGTTATTGCGACCTTTTCTCTGTGTTTTCTGCTTCTTCATTTTCTCTTTTGTGGGATAGAGGGAGGGAAGAGATGGAGTGCATGAGGGCAATGTCGTCTGTTTGCTGTGGGAGCGCGTCATTGGGGATCGTAGGATCAGTAATTGACCATGGTGCCGGGAAGAATGAGAATTTCCGCGGCAGGGCTGTAGCTGTCGCTTCTCTTAGAGTGCAGTCGATGCAAGTCGGAGGGGTATCGTCAGGTTACCAAGGGAAAGCTTTGAAGAGGTTTGGGTTACGGAGGAGCATCGCACGAGCCACATACTCCAGACCTGACGAGCCGCTGGGGACGAAGGCAGAGAATGCCGCCAACAAAGCAGCCAGGGATTTCGATGGGGCGAAGCAATCAGTTGGAAGTGCCGTGGAAGATGTGGAAGGGAAGGCAAGCACAGAAGTTGATGAGGGAAAGGAATCACTGGGAAATACTGGGGAGGAACTAAAACTGAATATCAAGAGCGGCATTGACCAGTCGAAGCAGGCATTTTCCAGCACTGTGGAGGATCTCAAAAGGAAAGCGGACGAAACTAAGAGTCTTGCACAAGAAACAGCTTATAAGGTGTAGTAGCTCTATTGTATTTTTCAGAAACCCCACGGCAGGGCGTGTGATGTAAATCACATATCTGACTCTTTGCTGCTAACATCAACGTTTAACAAGCTCCTGTGGTTGGTTGGAGGCATCGGAATTCTTTATTATTTTATTTTATTTTACCCCAACAACGGTAGAGTGTGCGACCTCCCAGTCGATCCGTTATACGACATCGAGACACCAGTTATTGTGTTGGAGTTTTGCAAGCTCCTATCTTGTTGGGACTCCGGTTCGCAAGAAGAATTAGAGCAGTTCACTAATTATTAAAGTCACATATTAATAGATTGGTCAAGTCTAGATTCTGTTTTCAAGAATTCAATGGTTGAACTTGTCCTTTGTCAGGAACTGGAGAAACTGAGAGATATCACTAAAAAACTTCTAGAGGAAACCGATGTCGCATTGAATAAGCTCGCTGCAACGGCACAGGAAACTGCCAACAAGCAGAAAGATAATCTAGCAGATGTCGTGGAGAAAGCGCCGGAGACAGTGAAGGAAGTTGCAGAATCAGTCCTTCGTGCGCACTATTCGGAAGCTGGAGGGAGCGGTTCTAAGGTTCATGATTTCTGCTTGGGTATTCCTTACGGAGGTTTCCTATCTGTTGGAGGTCTACTATGGTTTATACTTTCCGGCTCGATTTCAGCCATTAGGTTCGGTGTACTGCTAGGAAGCGCAATCCTTTACTTGGGTTTGACCAGCTTGAAAAAGTGGGAAAAAGGGGAGTCCTCAATGACGTACATCCAGAGTCAATCAGCCATCACTACCTTTATCTTCTTCAGGTTTATTTCTCGGCTTATATTTTCATTTTCTTCTTCGTCTGTCTACAGACTTAAAGTAGATTGAATCCTGAGATAATGATCTTTCTGAAGTAGTTCAGCCTGTTGTAATGTGTTGTACTCATTATTTTGAATGATGCCCAGTTATATCTTCATTTCATCTTTTTTGTGGGGTTTTCTATGCAACTTTCAGGCTGTAATTCTACACTTCTTTAACATCATCAGACCGATTGCTCGTTTCCTCCCATTTTATGTTTTAGCTTGAGATTTTCTACTGCTCACGGGAAACTCATTTCTTGGTATCAGGTATTTTAGGCATTACACTGTGAACAAGGCGCTCTTTCCAACGGGAGTTGTAGGCCTTATAAGTGGTGCAATGGTGGCCTTCTATATTTATGTATTGGCGTCCGGTGGGAATCGTCCCCAAAAACCCGAGAGCCAGACAAATTGATAGGTTAAATTATTTGCAAAGCACCCCTTGTTCTATGGGGATATACATTAGCCTCTGTTAGACTATTCTGCAGGTCAGTACTTTCAGTCCCTTCTTTGGTAGAAACCACTGCCCACCGTTACCATCTGGCATTAAATATGGAGTTTGTGTGTGCAAATGTCGAGAGGATGTATGATACGGGTGGTGTGCACTGTCCAAGCTATTAATGTTAAGACAGCAAGCATCAAGATGTCAGCAAGATGGGTGTGGGAAATCCGGCCCGACTTTCGACGAGGAAATCACTTCATGAATCTAGTTTCTTTTTGTGATGGTTGTGAGACCTTAGTTGATCCTGCTTTTTGACAGCCTTCAAAGTTTCACGAGTGCTTAGGGTTAAGTAACAGAATAAATTGCTTTCCTCTCGAAGCTCACTGTAGTCTTGTGCTGCCACTGAACGGAGAATTGAAAGGCTTGACTTGACCTGGCTTGGTTGGCCAAGTGTTCTATTCAAGCCACTGATTGCTGCGTGGGCCTTATTCTCTGCTCGTACAATCAGGAGTCTTCTAGATCTTGGCATGTAAAACCAGGGAACATTGTCTGCTTTAAATTCTTCACTTTCATCTGACAATATTCAGGGTGATTCATTTGATGCGACGGTACATTACTTGAAGCAGTGTGAGTCGACGAACGGTGGAACACGACTGAAATACCCCGCATGCACTAATTGTTAAAACAGAGTTCTCCATCCCGATCAACCAGAAGTGTCGAGTTTCCAATCGAGAACAGCTGATCAGATTGTCACCTGACTCGGACTGACAAGTTGTTTCTAAGGCTAGCGTTAGACTTTATTAATGGTCGCTCCAGTTCTCTCAAATAAACATGGACGAGTGGTGGGTCTCGGGATGGGCACAAGGATCTCGAGGAAGGGCATTTTGCGTGAGGTGCGTTTCCGGATGTTTCGTCATTTGGATGTTGGCGCTGTGCTATCCCTTGTGCACATAATTTCTTTATACTAATCGGTAACATTTTATCTCATGCATATACCTACTATCACCTTGCTAGTTTTTGCATCGTATTCGATGCAGAGGGCTCTGAAAGAAAGGGCGTGTAAAATTTCATAGATTAGGTTGAAGAGTTGGAGGATTTTGCCCAGGATGTTGATAGACCAACGAGCAATTCGTGGTAGATCTGCCAAGAATGGTAGCGAAGAAAGGTTCAGAGGAGAATGTACTATTCCCTATGGGCATCACTCTCATGCAAGCTGTGGTGGCAGCAGGAGTGAAGGGGCCAACAATAAACCAAATTGCAATCTGCCTCAAGGGTTCCGTACAGGGACATGATGTGCACAGATTCTCGGGTTACTGCGGCGACCAGGAAATGACACGAGCGAATCGCGTCTAAGTCGATGAAATCATCCAGATGAAACCCACTTTCCAGGCATTCCTAGATTAGAGATGTCGTGTGGAATCCTAATTGCCAACAAGTTTTAACTTCCTGGTTGCTTTCCTCAAATATCCGGCGCCTCAAATCCAGTTCTGTGTGCATTTTATGGTTATACCAAAATATAAGGTTTCTGCAAATACTCCTTTGAAATATGATACGAAATTTTTTATACCATTTGACTGGAAATTCAGTCGCAGTGAAAATGATGCCATCAATACGTTGGGCCATGTCCCACATTCAAATCCCTCCACTTGCCCCAAGACCTCGACAAAGTCGATAACTGCTGGCTTTCAACACAAGTGATTTTATCCCTGAATGAGAAGATTGGGCATCCGATTCGGGCCCGACCACTTGAAGAGTATATCTGCGGGAGATTTCAAATTTGAAAGTTTCAGGATATCTTGAAAGATAATAGAGACACTGACGCGGTTGTGTACACTTCGAGTGGGAGCCAGATGACGTTTATGGAGGTGAACGAAAAGGGCCCCGAGTCAGCAGCGATGATGGGGATCGCAATTAAGGGATGTTGATTCGAGTCTAGCAAGGGCATACATTCTAGACCAACAGTCTGATGACCACCATCAGAGTAAAGCTTATGGCGAAGGAAACTCCTGTTGGGGACCTCGAATCATGCACATATCTGCATGGAGGCTTGGTCATGGTTGCGGAATTATTGTGTTCAAGGTATCAAAATGGACGGGGATTCTTGAAAGGATTATAACATAAAAGAACGATCTAGCTCTTGAATCTACAATTAATCCATGAGGGCAACACATTTCTTTGCAACTGCTTCACATCTAATACCCCTCCTACTTCATGCAGAGTTCTTGAAGGAGATCATGACAACTAATAACAGCAGCGATGTCGCAAAATTCTACCAGCAACAAAGCTGACCTCAGATACATTACGAAAAGGCTTCGCTGGTGATCCCAGAAACCTAGTTGGCGCCAAAAGTATCCATGAAGGGATGTGTATCCCATCAGATTGCAAGGACTTCAAACAATCAGTACTTCAATCCCTGCTTGTAGCAGACTGCGGTAAAGCAACCAACATGCATCATGAATGAATATTTGCACAAAGCGCCGCACTGAGCTGCTTCAGACCATCACCTATGTTGACGAGGGCGTCAATATAACCACTGCCCAGTTTCATGGCACCTCGAAATTTCTCCTTCTCCAATTCCAGCTTCACTTTCTCCATCTCAAGATCTTCTCGGTGTCGCTTATCTTTCCTGTCTTCGGATTCCAGCATTGCTTCAACCACGTTCTTGTTGTTGCGAACCAGTATTGTAGCCAGTGCCTCGTCTGTTTTTGACCACAACTTTCTCTTCTTCCCAAACTGATTTGGACCGCTCGTTTCCTCCCCGCTTTCGTCTTCGGAGTCAACAAGCTCTGCTTTCACACCTGCAAGTGAGACATACTCAGAGATTCATATTCTGTTGTCTGGCGACAAAGAGCTGCCCCATCGGAAAGGAGTAATATCAAAACAGGCATCCTCAAATCTGAAATAAATGTGGAGTTATAACCTTGTCATAATAATAATTAAAGATAAGAATCCAACAAAGACCGACTTAATCAGCTCACAGTCGTTAATTCGTTCAATTTCAATGACATGTGCAGGACATGGCACAGATTGGAGCTCTTGGTCTTGAATTAGAATTTGGGCCTAAGAAATGAATACCCCGACAACTGCTTTAACAAAGCAGATTGAATGATTGGCAACCACAACAAGACATCTGTCAATCTATACCCAGGTATCAGACAAGCAACACAAGCAACCGAGGAAAGGATTCACAGGCATACCTGATGGTCCCTGTGGCCCCGATGTATCAACCACAAGCTCTCCAGAGTCCGAATGCTTTATCTTGGTATCACACCACTCTAGCAAAGCACTGAATACCTCCTTTTGAAAATTTGGTGGTAATTTATTTCGCTTGCGCTCCTCGGGTGACATGTTCCAGTAAGACTTGTGTCCATTGCACGCGTATTTTTCATTATTATAGACCTTTTTATATGCTGTTGAGATGACCTCCCACTTATCATGGCACTGTTGAGCACTTCGTTGGACTCCAGAAGCCCAGCAATAGTCCTCAATCCAATTCCATCTCTCCTGCACGGGATTCTGTATGCCCTTCATACCCCGATCATGGCGATGGAAGTCCTCCCTCTTCGCCGCCTGCAGAACCAACATCTCTTCTACCACCCAATTACTTTTCTTATATAGCCGCCCACACCGTGAGCCCTGAGGATGTCCATATACTACTTCGTCCTCAAGTGTAATGAGGGAATGGTGGTTGCTAGCGTGCATTAAATGACTGTTTCCGTTCACATGGCTGCCATTGGAGTCATGGAGGATGTGGTCAGGGTCTGATAGATGAGCTTCATCTCCTTCACTCGGAGAATGATGTGTATCCACTAGAGAGATGTCGGTTCGAAATTCGCCACTATGTAGGTCCATTTTTTTTTATCATAGGGACTAATGATGCCCCTTGCCGTGAGAATCCCACAAACAAGATAATTTCCAACTTGTAATGACACACTTGTCACTTTCGAGCGAGATCTCTCGAGTAACAACCAGTCGCTACCAACACGAGCCCTTAACTTCATCCAAAAACAGAGGCCTAAGTTTCAGCCCTTGCCACCTGATTCCTACCCATTGATAGACCTGAAATACTCCCATTGACTTTCCTAAACTGTGCATGAAAACATTAATAAAACTCCCGAACCATGTAACATGCTTCGATCGTTTCCTTGCTTTGCGCAGTTGCAGAATTTAAGTATAATCTCCATCGCATCTTTGTCTTCCGTTGTGCATTATGTATCAACAGGGTATTAAAACAACCCAACTCTTCCTTATACGAACTAAAGCCCTTCTCCACCTTCGATTTGAAACCACAGCAGCTAAGCGAGCAGGGCTAATGCATCTCTCCTACTGAAGAAACAATTGCACCAAGACCCGCCAAGCCACATCATTCCCGTCCGGAGCTTGAAATAATCGAATACGGCAGGTCTCCCCTTCAAGATGCACATATCAAGGATTAATTATGTACACGATGCCAACTCTTCCAGCCCCACGGGGGATTTCACGATTTGCTTCAAAGAAACAACCCTAATTGAAGAGTAGCAAAATCCTCATATCGTCACGCTCCACTCAAAAGCCCGTCCCCACAAGTGTCCATTTCCACCTGCATTCTCTGCTATCCAGCTTAGTTTACACCCCTAACCCCACCACATACTACATCAACCTGGAAGTGCAATAAACACCAAAACTCAATTTCAGACAAGGAGAATACAGCACAGATTTAGAGCTCACATTTCAACCAAGTCTCAGAAAGCCCAACACCCACCCGCAATCTCGATCTGCTGCAACCCTACTGATCCCTCGATGACTCGCAGCTCGGCGCACGGGGAAGAACCGCTCGAGGTGGGGAAGCGGATCCACGAGAACCCACGACAGAATCGAGCTTGGAGAGGCAAATTCAGAACCCAGAAGCAGGCTCAAGAAACAAACGGAGTACGCGGTGGCGTAGAGCCGGAACCCACCAGAGTCCGTCCACACATCCTGCTACACAAGGAAAACGGAAGTTTAGGGTTCGGCGTGGGGCCTTCAGAGGGGGGCTGGATTTGGGCTTGGGTCCTCCACTTCATACTGTTGCTGCATCTACTGCTGGGGTTCTGTGTCCATAGCTCTACATGGAAATCACTTTTGCGCTAAAAAAGATCCCGCTCCAGCGAATCTCTCGCCGCAAAAGGAGCACATGCTGGAGCGGAACACCTCGCAATCGACGACGATGAAACTCCACCTCTCTTTCCCCTACTGCTTTCTCTTTTACGTTTTCCCATAGTGTGGTCAGGCAACCTCATGCAGGAACCGAACCGTGTAATTGGGAGGATCAAATCTGGGATCTATCTATATATCCTTGATGGTTCAAGTTTACTTTGAATTGATTCAATCTTTCTTAGACTTTAATATAAATAGAAACCCGTAAATGATTGGTCGATCTTTTGTGTAATTGTGGGTGAAATTAAAGGGAACCATTAGGTAGACACTCCCTTTTTGCTGCATGAACACCCTCATGTCATGTATCCCACATACACACAATAAAACTCTTATTTGAAATTGAAAATTAAGAATATGTCTGATTAAATCATTCTTTAAATTTATTGTAAAATATTTTGTGTGCAATGATTTATATATATATATATATATAATTTAATTCAATTTAACAAAATTTTATGATGCATATTATTTAATACTTTCATTCATTTTTAAATTATTTTTAATACAAAGTACATAGAGATGTTGAAAAAAAAATACTGTACATAAAAAACTCTATTGCAAAAAAAAAAAAAAATTAAACTATGTAATATAGGAAGTATTGATATTTAGATAAATATTCATGTTAGCTTTTAGTTTATCGTTGGTAAACATCATAAGTTATCAAAGTACATGTTTAATAAAATAATAATAATTTTTTTAAAACTCATATATTTACATTTGTAGTGTAGTTAATTGTTTGTGGTCTTTAATTTTTGGCTCAATTTTAAATATAATGGAGCCAAAAATAACTTACAACCTTTGCAATTAGATCCAACTTAACACATTATTTAAAAAATAAATAAATCAAAAAATATAAATGATATCAAATTGTGTTTAAATGCTTGCAAATTAACTCGATGTAAACTTAATCTAATCAACCTCCTTAATTGATTAACTTTTATATAATTGTAAGTTGCATTTGAAGTGCCAAAAGATAAGTTTTTAGGTTTTTGCTCACAGAAGTTAGACTCTTGTATGTCCATAATCCTATGGTCATTAGATTGGATTCAGAAGAATTCACAGCTAATGCATTGACAACACTATTCTCTTTAGCACTAGATTATTGCAACGAAGATTCAACGAATCGCTCCACATATAACATCGTCGTAAGAATATGTGCATTAATTTTCAAAGAAACATAGATGAACAAACAAAAAGAAAGAAGTGAGCAGATATGCAAGTAAATAAAGAACTACATCACCTCTGTTAAAACACTTCATCCTTCTTTCATAGGCCTTGCTACCTAGCCAAACTTGACTTAATTCATGCTTGCACTGTAAGTTAGGCAAATTCACTCACTCTTGCAATTTGGTACTTGCCTTAGGAAAGCTTAAGAAGCCGTACATGAAAATACATGTTTTAATTGTAACTCTCAGGTAGTGGTGATTGCAAAGAATCAAACAAATGCCAAAAAAAATTTAGTCAGAGGCGTCAAGGAGGACAGTGATGAGCATCAATCTTCCATGTGAGTAGCGTTTGATTGCGATTCCCGAGAATGTAGATCAGTGGCACACATCGACGGTGCCTTCAGAATCGATGTGGTCAGGCTATGACAGTCCAGTCCAAACCCAAACTAGTGATGCCTCTCGATGCCGATGAGCGCACATCGCTGGTTGTCAGACTGGAAGGAAGATCCAGAACACATAATTTACTCCCCCAGAGATGCAAGCTGAAGTTTGTTCTGGTGGATGGCACCCTAACCCAGTAACCAGGTGGATACATCCCATGATTCACTGACCCAATTCGTGTCTGCAGACACACTCACAGCAGCTAATATCTCTCACGACGATTCACCAATTGCAGCCCAACACTTCTGACCCGCTGAATTATTTCAGCCACGCCTTAACTGCACCCTCGTTTTCCTGATTCTGCCCACGTCGAGTCCCCGTGCTCCAGGTACAGGTGCCGCGAACCGGCTCTGTCTAGCGAGCTCGTCCTATTGCGACAAAACACGCCCCATAGCTGGAGAGTTGCGAGAGTTGTGAAGATGAGAGTGATGTGATGAGATGAACCGGAGTGTTGTCGATCGACGTCGAACACGAGCAGGTTTGGGTTGTTTAGGGAGTTGCAGTGGTGATGAGAAGCTGGAGAATTCATGGTGAGGTGGATAAATCAGGTGCTCGGCGTCACCTACGACTCATTTTGCATGAACGGCGTCGAATATGCTTTAATATGTTGTGCATATTTATGCTTGATTTAGACACAAAGTGGCTGAACTATTGCTGCAGAGTGCATGGAAAACAATGTGTTGATTGATTGATGGATTGGCTGATGGAACATGAAGGTTGCTAAGGACTATTTGTTAAGAGCTCGTCTTGTTTTTGTTTTTACTTTGTTGTTGTTGTTTTTTTTTTTTGTTAGGCTTTGGTTTGTTTTATTCTCTTCCAAAATGGTCTTTTTCCTTGTTGAGTATGTTTGAATGGTGACATAGAAGGTTAGACAGAGGTGGAACATTTTTTTGGACAAAAACAAAGCTGTTTAGAATGGTGTAAAATGAAAATTAGTAAAAACATCTCTTGACTTGTAATGTGCATTTATATGTAGGTTTGCATATGTAGATATAGTCAATAGTACTAATAAATTTTAGGGTTATTTATTTATTTATTTATTATTTAATTGTAAAAATATGTAATTTTTAATTCTGATAGAATATGAATGATACAAGATAATATTTTTAGTTAATATTCTTTCATTACCTTATTACTACTACTATGTTTATTTTTATCATTATAAAATTTTGATTTTCTTCACGTCATTTTTTCCATCTTCTTATTCAATATCAATTTTCATCATTAAATAGGCATCTATGATTAAAGACTCAAGTGTATTTATTGTTTTGTTTACAAATCTTTAATTTTAAACTATATTTATAATAAATTTTCTTCCTTAATAATTTTTAAAAATATTTGTAATTCAAAAAATAAATTTTTATCCAACTTTTTACTTAGCATAATTATATATTAAATATAATTATATTTATTTATAAGTTATGACAAAATTAAGGCCTAAATTTTTAATTAGCTATATAGATAATCAAGTGCTGATATAACCATTTGAAATAAACAATATTTGGATATGAATCGCATAATAAATAATTTATTGCTATAAGTTTTTATTTTTTAAATTTTTTTTTTTATGCTACTTTGTATTTATAATCAATACTTATAGCACTTAAAATAAATTGAAATAAGTAGAAGTATGTAGAAAGAAATAGAGAAGATAATACATTTCTTAAGAAAATTCACAAAATTTTCTTAGACAATATTAGAGTATTATTAAAATATTCTTTAATCACTAAAATTCTTTAAGTAATATCATCTTTTAGATACTTTTACAATTCTTGGATTTTAATCATAATATGAGAAGTATTATTTTTTAATTTTTAAAAGATGTTAGCTAACTTAATTTTTTTAATTTAAAAGTTGGATCAATTATATTGATTTAAGTTTTAAAAAATAAAAATCTATCTTAAATTCTAATACTATTACAAAAAAAATAAGACAAATTAATTAATAGTTATTATATATTTTAGGAAAAATATTATATGTACCTCTTAAATATGTCAAAATATCAAGAATATCCCTATACTCTTGATAATAGCATATATTTCTAATTTTTTTGATGATAACATATACATTTTTAGAATTGATGATAATAGCATACATATTCTTAAAATTATTGATAATAGCAAATATATCCTCCACCTTGATAAGATATTAGAAATCTGATAGTTCCATTAATATTTTTATCTTCATTTGGGCCTAAATAGTGGCTTTTGTGATTTAGTGTGTGAATAGGGAATAAAATAAAATAAAATAAAATCTCACATGATATACATTCTTGGCAAATTGTCAAAAAAAAAAAAAAAAAAAAAAAAAATGTTACAACTGCCCAATAATGCATAACATACAATTCTCTCTCCCACAGCATCCTATCCATTGTCGCAGTTAATGACTCATTTCTTTGTACAATAGCCTTGAGTATGGACATGTATGTGTCACTGCTTGTAATGTCACATTTGTCTTGCATTCTCTCTTGGTGCTACAACTAGTAATCAATCATGACAATATTGCAATACGTATCTTGTATTAAGTTTCTTCTTTATATATAATGTGTGTTTGTAGCTTCTTATGTAGATAGGTGGAGATCAATGGATTAATGAGTGATTGAAAAAGAGAGAGAGAGAGACAAAAGTATTTGTGTATTTGAAGTCATTACTTTGCAATGAATTCTTGTTAGAAAATTGATACAATATTTCTTTTTGTTATAAGGCTCATTGAAAGTCATACTTGCAAAAAACTCATTTTTATTATTATGATTCTTGAACTATCAACAATATTTTATTCAATCTCTTCTAATATTTAATTCCACTTTTGATGAGAGCTTTTGATTGACATAATTATTAAATAAATTTTAACATGTTTTAATATTTTACTTATAGTATGAGATTGTGTTTGTATATATATATATATATATATATATATAGATTCAATGAGTATTATTTCTTTTTCAATCAATTGATAATAGAATAATATAAAATAGGTGATTGCAAATGTAATAAAAAAATATCTATTTATTCTATAAAATATTTACTTGGTTTTGAAAAAAATGCCAATTTAAAATGATGATTCAAAAGTTAATTCTAATATTTTCATTCAATTTATTTTATGATCATAAATACAATAATTTTTTCTCTATTTTTTTTTTGTATAATATATTCATCACTATTTACATCACAATAACAATTGTATATTGATTGAACAATCTATAGCTTTTGTTTGTTTGTTTGTTTTTTCCTTTTCTTTATTTTTTCTTCTTCAGCTTCTGATAAATTTTTATCCAATAATGATGACTATTTATACACAAAATTTATATTAGTAAAGTTTATCATTATTTATTAAAAAAATAAGTAATTATGATATGAATAAATTTATATTTATATACATATATAAA